TGCGGGGGGAGGTGCTCCTCGGGACACGCCTCTGGGGAGCCGGTCCGAGCTGACCGAGCGCCTTTCGGCTGCTCTGCTGTGGCCTCGTCTTGCTTTTGGCCTCGTGAGTTTGAGAGGAAGCAATGATACTTATTTTTTCCTGCTGCAGCGCCACAGATCCTGCACCCCTGCGGATCAGATGTCGTGAAGCGTTTCTGGGCTGAGCTGGTTTTTCAGGTGAGTAGGGTCATACGGTGAGATGGTGCCTGGCCCCAGAGCGTGGCCAGCGCTGTGGGCTCAGCACGGCTTCGTTTTGCCATTCCCCTGCTTGCCGGGCCGAGCAGAGCTGAGCCGGCTGCGCTTCCTACCAGGATGTGGCTTTTCTCTTGCCTTAAAGCTACGTGAACAAGCAGCAGCCTCTGTGAACAGCTTTGTGTGGACAAAGTGTGTTTATAACACAGAGGTAAAGGTGGATTGTTTACTTCAACATTTGCTCCCGCACCTAGCTCCTGTGAAAGTCCCAGGGGAGCATTGCAGCCACTCCTTGTGACCAGAGCTGTGTTTCAAGGGAGTATAACGCACAAACAACTCTCCTGTAATAGTTTGGGTTGCAACTCCCCAGAGTGCTTGTGCTTGGTGGGTGAAAACAAGCAAGAAGCATTCACTGGGCTGCTGTGTCCCACAGTCAGCATGAGAGAAAAGATGCCAGACAAAACAGGAAACCTTTGCTGGGGTTATAAAAAAAGGAGCTTAAAAAGCTTAAAAAAAGCCATCTAAAAGAAATACTGGTAATTCATTGCACCTGACTGTGTTGGGGATGCTTTTTCTAGCTGGGTCTTCAGCTTCCTCTCAGCATCTCTGGGTGCTTGGATCTGGCTCAGTTCTGTACTGTCATGGACCTCATTTGGATTGTTGAAGGCCTGGGCTTCTGAATTTATTGACAGAGGGGCTGCCCTGGTCACAGTGTTGGGTCTGGTGTCTGTGAGTGATAAATTATTTTATTATGGTCCCCTGATCCTTAGCCCAGTGCTGTGTATCTGTTGGGTGATGTGAGCTCCCAGGGTGGCTTTCAGTCTCTCCTGGATGCCAAGCTGGACCTGAGCAGTTCTGAGGGGATGGGGACGGTGCCTCTCTGTCCTCCCTCCATAACCACCTCATTCCCAAGTGGCACTGAAGCAGTATAATTTGTACCTGGTGACCAATTGGAAGAGGCTGATGCAATGTGGGACTAATATACAGGAGACTTCAGTGGGGGGTTCCACTCTTCAAGCTTCACGCACAGGAGGAATTGGCAGAGAGTGTGTTTCACTGCAAATAAATAACTTTAGAAAGCAATTGCTTGTCCAAGTGCTAGCTTGACCGCCCTCCTTTTTCTTCTCTGCTCTTGCTGCTAGTGCATCAGGAAGCATGGAGCACCAGGTGTCCGTCATGACTGACTGGGTGCTCCTGGGACTGATCGCAGCGATGGTCGTGCTGCTCCTGCTGACTGTCTTCGGTTTCGTCGTCTACTCGGGGCTCTTCACGGAGGTGGTTGTGAGTGCTGGCTCCCCACCTGTTGGCAACATGACACTGGCCTACAAGTTCAGGGTAGGCCCCTATGGAGAATCCGGGCAGCTCTTCACGGATGGCTGCAGCATCTCCTCGAAGCTGTGCTCCATCGGTGTCTACTATGACAACCCTCACACGGTAAGGTGTGCCCAGTGAGGCCAGCAGGCTCTCTTGGCCAGCACTCGGGTTCTCAGCTCAGGGTGCTCCCTGCCTGTGTTTCAGGCACTTGCAGCTCATCCTCTGTAGCGGAGCACTGGGGTTCACAAGGTCTCCCAGATCTGCAGAGGATGCTCTGTGGGGAAAGGCACCTGAAAGCAGAGGAGTTTTTTGAATAACTGGAAGCACTGGGTGAGCAGATTGCTGTCTTCTGATACCCTCTGCTGAGCAAGTTATCAACAGGATAATGGGACTGGTTATGGAGCAGAGGGCCGTGTTCATGGCCCCCAGGTGAGGCATTCCTTGGCAGATTCCCTGGCTCCCGGATGTTCAGTCCTTCTGGACTTGCAGCTCTGTGGCTGAAAGCAGATGGTCTCTTCAGCTTAGTCTGTTCTCATCCATACTCCTTCTCTTGTTTCTAATGCTCTCGTGTGTTTCTGAGCTTCCCTGTAGTTCTTCCATCCCCTGAGAATTCTTACTGAAAACCTCAGGTGCAACTCCTGTCTGATGAAACAGTTGTTCATGATGCTCTTCAGGCTGAGAGGTGAGCAGAAAGTGCTGCTGGGTGGCTGCCAGCCAGAGCCCAGTACTCTGATGGGTACAGTCCAAGACAAGGAGCAAACAAAAGTGCATCGGAACTTGCCAGGCTGCTGATGCTGTGTGACACAGGTCTCCAAATAATGGCATGTGGGCATTTGTCTGGGGCAGACAGCCTGGCTCCCTACTAATTCTGCTGTAACTGCTGTGACCGTGGAGGAATCCATGGGGAGGAGGGACAACAGAGTGACCAGCAGCTGTGCATGTGTGTTCGTGCACGTGTGCTGGGGGCTGGCACAGGGCACAGTGCTTGGGCCGATAGTTCTCACCCGGTGCTTCTGCTCTGTGAGTGGCTGGTCCTGTTTTAGAATCCCCGTTTCATTGCTTGCAAGATGGTGCTCCCAAGGGTTGGACCTGCATAAGGGAACTTGTCCATGAAAATGTAGTGCTGAGTGACCAGAAGATACTAGAGGTGAGACAGCACTGAGCTGAGCTGTGCTCAGTGGAGCCTGGTGTACTCAGCCACCATGTGCCTTTGTATCCTGTGATGCTTGTCTTTACCTGCCTGGATCGTGGGAGGCAGAGAAATCACTCTAACAGTGCATCTTCCTGGCCTGGGCAGGACGATGGCAAAGAGGACTTCTCCTTTTTGGATGAACTGGGCCAAGACAGGGTTTGGCTAGATGTGCTTGGACCCGTTTGTCTGGAAGAAGTGTCATGTTTGCAGTGGGATCCATGGAGAGTGCCTGCTGTCCTAGGACCCACGTGGTCAGTGTGTCTGTTTTCCCCACCACTAATTTGTGTCCTTGTGTTAAAGTCCTTGCCTGGAGCTGAGAACTCTGGTGCTGCTGCTTGTTCCTCCATGATCTCTGGGGGTGGAGCAGGGCAGGTGACGCTGTCTGAAGGCCTCAGTGTCGATGCCCCGTGCTGTCCTGGTCAGGGGACATGATGTGGACATGCCTGTGGTTGCCCTGCAGACCTTCTGCTGGTGTTGTGGCAAGGGCATTATGCCTTGCCTCTTTGTTTGCTGAAGCTTGGGCTAGTGAAAGCCTGTACTGCCAAGGCCCACAGATACCGATAAGGGTATTTGTGGTAACTCCTGCCCTGGCTGGCACAGGGAATGCTTTTCCTGGTAGCACCAGGTGAGGCTGGGAAGGAGCAACTCCTAGCTGACCCTGAATATTTGGTCTGTCCAGGCAGGATAAAGCTTCCTCCCCTTTCTGGTCCTGTCTTTTTTCTCCTCTTCCTGAGTCTGTTGCATCTCTGCCCTCGCCTTGTGGTTGAAGCAGGGAGTGAGGCTGAAGAACTTGTATCTGATGGCCATCCGGGGTTTTGTAAGTCAGCTGTTTCTCCTTGTGGTGGGAGCCTAACCTGCCCTCCAAGGCTTGACAGGCAGCTCCGTGGACCTTGCCCTTCTCTGGCTGCCTTTGCTCATGACATTGGGCAGATGATGGTGGCCTGAGCTTCCTGCCACTCTTGAGCACAGTGTCAGACCTGGGTCTGCTGGAGCAGCTGGGGTGCTGGTAAGACCTTCCACAGGCTGATTTGTGGCTCCTGACTTGGTTCTCGCAGAGATCCACATCTCCCCAACGGGCAGGTCAGGCAGGCAGGGAGTGAGGCTGCCTTTGAGCAGATGGCTGTCTTGCCTCTGGGCAGGTGAAGATACGGCGGTTTTTGGTGGTTTGCTTGGCTGGGGACTGCAGCTCTCATACCTGCCATGCTGGCTCAGGCACACAGCACCTGAGCATCCCATGGGATGTCCCTGTGCACTCATATCCACTGTAGCCATGATGTTGTGGGAGATAGTGTGCACTGCTGGTTCCTCATTCCTGGAGGTTCAACAGGTTGGGATTGGTCACCCAGGCTGCCTTTCCCCTGGGAGGAAGAGATGACCTCCTCCTCTTCCTCCTCATTCTCAGTACTCTCCTGATCTCGGTGAAGCACTCTCTGGCAGAGGCTGGCCCGCCCAGAGCTGGCCACTTGCCACGGATGTTGACTGGTTGCCAAAAATAGGCCTTTTGTCATCAGGCAGCAGAACATGCTGGCTGTGTCCCACAGTGTCCCTGGCTGAGCTCTGGCCAGACAACCTCCAACCCAGTTCTTGGCCATGGCTCCTGGGGGCTGTGGTGCCCCTGGCACTGTGGCAGGAAAGTGCTGGTGACTGTCAGGTGCTGTGTGGCAATTGCTGTGCTGGTGGACTCGTGGCCAAAGGATGCTCTGGCTAGGAGAGGTGATGGGAATGCCAGAGCTGGAGAACAGCGCCATGTGCTGGCTCTCAGCTGGGAGAGGGGCCTGGGGGAGCCCCATAGCCTGGAGCATGTGGGTTGTCTTGGGGTCATGCCAGGCCTCAAGGCAGCCACCATCACCAGCATCTCTGTGGCTCCCTGCTGACTCCTGACTCTCCAACATTCACACAGTGATGTTCCCTGAGTGCTGCCAAACCCCTGCCAGCAATGTTTTATGTGTTTTAATGGACAAGATTAATATTAATTTGGATTTTTTCCTTTTTCCTTTTTATTTAATATTTAGCAGCCCAGAGGACTTCTCCCTCCTCCCACCTCTGGCAGGCACAAAAATAACTCCTCAGCAAGGACTGGCTGTGGCAGTCGGGTTTGTGCTCAGCTCCAGCCAAGTGCTCCTGCTCACGTATGGCTGTGGGCACGTGCCAGGGCCTTTTGCCTGCAGTCCACGTGTTCGCGTGCTCAGCAGCCATCCTGTGCCCCAGTGTTGGATGGATGAGGCCAAAATGCTCTCTGAATGCAGGAATGGGTTTTGCTCCCTCCAGCAAAGCTCCATAGGTTAGATAGATTAACTAATAATTTCCAGAACTTCTCTGTCAGATTTGCTTGGGGGAACGGAGGCTTTGATCAGCACCTGCCTACTGGAAGGGATAAATTTGTTGGGGAAAGGTTGGTTTTAAGTGGAGTATTTCCTTCCTTCCCTTGAGATGGGCTTTGCCAAGCAGGGGAGAAGGCCAATCTGCCTTACTGCTGCCATTGAGAAAGTGCCTGTGGGACTGCACACTATGGAGAAAAAAGTAGAAGCAGAAGGGAGGAAGCAAATGTGCCTGGCTCCAGTGGTGCTGCCTCCTGCTGCAGCAGCTCTGGTCCTTCCAACAGTTCCTTTGGGGCTGGGATTGAACTGTCTTTGCTCAGGACATAAATGGAGATTGCCTGTTTTAAGGATTTTTATCTAGATTTCCCCTATCACCTTGATTTGTCTGAACCTTTCTCCATGGATGCCTTTTACTGCTGCCTCTTGCTGGCTTTGGGGAGGATCTGCTTCTCTTTGCCAGCCCGGAGCGGCGATGGATGCTGGGCCCAGCCCTGTGTGCAGCTCCCTCTTGCAGCGCAGGAGGGCAAGAGCGAGCCGCGAGGCGCGGTGCCCAGCCTGCTCCTGCTGCTGCTCCGCAGGCTGCTTCCTTCCTTCCATTTACATCTGCTTGTGTTCCCGCTCCGGGACGGTCCTGCCGTGCGACATCAAAGGGGTTTGAGGGAAAGGCAGGGCAAGGAGTGCAGGGAGGGTAGTTATGCTGCAAGAGGAGGCATTGGTGAGCTTGAGCGCAGCAAAGTTAGGGATGAGATTGGGGTGTGTGGACCACATATCTCCTTGTCCGTGTGTGTGGGGATGGGAAGTGGTAACGCGCTGGCCTGGTGTGCATCCTCTCTCTGCCTCCCCTCATCCCCGTGAGAGCTTTGTGATGTCTTTGTGCCTCTAGGTGGTATCAGGGGGAGTTACTGGGCTCTCCTGCCCCTGGCATGCTCCTGCCCAGTGCTATGGGTAAGCTTGAACTTGAGTGGTGTGATTCTGTTAAAAAACACAAGTGAAAGTTGTGGCCTGGGTCAGCCTTGGTGTGGAGATGGCCAGAACCCTTTGAGCCATCACTATGCTGGTAGCAGAGCCTTGAGCACCTCCGTTGCTGGGCTGCAGCTCTGCAGCCCTGTCTTAATGGGAGACATTCCCAAATCTACAAAGAGAGCATGTTTTAGGTCTTGCATTTTGCTGGACTCTGGGACAGAAGTGAATGTGTTTCTCTTCATGTTACTACAAACAGCTTGGTGACTGCATGCAAGTCTTACCTGCCTCAGTTTTCCCATCTCTAAAACTGCTGTACTGTGTGTGCCCACTTAGGAAGGACCCAAGAGCCTCTGGATTTCTGTCCAGCTTACTGCTGGTGGCCCATGGTGGTTGGTGGCCCATTCAGGTGGCTGCCAGGTGGCCTCCTTTGGGGGTGGGGTTAAGGCAAGCTGAGGAAGTTGTGGTCACATATCTCAGCCCCCTCACCAAGTTGCAGGGGTGTCCTGCAGATGGGAATGGCAGTGAGCATGTCCTGACAGTCAGGTCTCTGGTGGGGGGTCAGGAGAGACACTTCCTGCAGTGACTGTCACCCAGATTAGATTTGGGTGAGCACCTCAGTGGGGTTTAGTTCTTCTCTGCTGCAAGTCCCTCTGCCCTCCAAAGAGGGGAGCAGCACCTTCCCCACTGGGCTGCGCACTTAGGCTGGGAGGAGGGTAGATGATGTAGGCCTGGATCAGCCTGGGTTAGGAGCAGACACCTGCTTTGGTATGCCTGATCACACTGGGCCATTGCATTTACCCTGATTCATGGTGGTCTCCTGCCTCCGTGCTCAGCAGGTTGAAGTTTTGTCTGGCTTTAAGCATCTCTGTTCTTCTGACACTGTCTGTCTGTCCCCTTCAACCAGGTGCCTCCAGAGAAGTGCCGCTTCGCCATAGGCCGAATCCTGAGCGAGGGAGATGCAAAGCCATCAGAAGAGCAGATCAAACGGTTCCAGAAGTATGGCTTTAAGATCTTCACCTTCCCTGCTCCCAGCCACGTGGTCATGGCGACCTTCCCATTCACTACGCCATTGTCCATCCATCTAGCAGTCAATCGTGTCCACCCAGCTCTTGACACTTACATCAAGGTAAGCAAGTGTGGCAAGAGGAGCGCTGCGTGTGTTCGGTGGACTGTCAGAGACTTCTCTTCCTGACAGCTGATGGGACTGCTCTGATGTGTCATCTCTTGATGCCTTCCCTTGGGCACTACCATCAAGATCTCCTCTTTCTGTAACCTGACAGGTAGATTCCCCAGCAGGGATGTCCTTCCATTCGCTCTGTAGGCACAGGGGTGTCTTTTTCTACTGTTTTGTGTTTACAAGGAGCAAGTTCTCATCTAATGACTTGCTGCTTTTCTCCTTAATGCAGAGATAAAAGCTGATTTCCCCCTTGAGCCTCTCTTGTTGTTAAGATCTGGCAGGTATGTGCCCTTCGGTGTAATGCTTCATGCCATGGAACTTCTGTTTTGAGTGTCATCTTCACCGGTGGGGCAGCTGTCTGCTGTAGGGGTGGGAGGAGAAGTTAGAAACTTTCTAGCCTGTGGGCTTATAAAAACTTTTTTTCAGGCAATACATTGAAATTTGTGGCCCTTGGCCCTGGCTGGACAGCCAGGCTGCTGTGGGCTGTTTTTGCCCTTGCCCCTGAATGGAGCAGGTGGCCATGCCTGCTGCTTCTGGTCTCTTTGAAGCTAGGTCTGCTGCCTTGCTCTGGTTGCCAGACCAGCTGTGGCAAGGGTGTTCCCGAGCAGCACATCTGACACAGATACCGCCAGATCCAGGCTTTCTAGAAAGTGAGGAAGGTCCTGGCCAGCTGGGTGATGGAGAGAAGGGACTGTCCTTCCCAGTGAGGGAGGATGCTGTGGAGGGGACAGCGCTCAGCTCTTGGCTTCTCTGGCTGTCGAGTTCTGACGCTTTCATTTGTTCGTGTTGAAACACACTATTTATAAACTTGCTTTTCCTGGCGAAACTCCCAGCCTTGTGGGGGAACCGTGTGAATCCCTCCAGCCTGCGCTGTGCTGCAGGATGGCTGCCCAGGTGCCAACCCTGGAACTTCTGTGGGGGCTCTTTGCCAACCCTCTTGTCTGCCCCAGCCACAGGGGACTGCCTGCTGGTACCGGCAGGAGTGTTGACACTGGCAGTAGGTGAGACCACCACTGCTCACACTCCCCATGCTAGAGAGCTGGTGGAGGGCAGAATCAGTTCCCCATTCTCATCCTCTTGCTCCATCCTCTATGCCTCTTCCTGGAGCTCTGCCAGCTGTGTTGTTGTGGGGGTATTGGGCACTGCTGCCAGCCCTGCGGTGGACGCGGGTGTGCGGGGAGGGGGCTGGCACGGGTGGGAGCGTCAGGTTGGCTGTGGGAGTGATCGGCGACACAGGGCTGATGCTGCCTTACTTGGGGAAAGGTCCCGGCAGCGCATCTGTCGCATGAGAGATGGAGCTGTTAGAGCTAAAAAGGGAACCACGGGTTGTTCTGGGAGCACCTGGCCGCGTTTAATGGGAGCGGCTGATTTCCAATTAAAATAACTGAAAGCATAGGGAAACACAGCACGCACGGCCGTGTGTGTAGGGAGGGGACACATTTTGATCTCTGCCCCAGTCCCAGCAGCACGTGAGTCAGGGTGCATGTCCGTGTCTGTCCCAATGTCCTGCAGCAGAGCACAGCTCCCCTGCCTGCCGTAGGCTGACTGTGGGACACAGGTCAGGCAGGGAGACGATGGGGTTGCCTTGCCGGTGGGGCACCGTGGGGATGCCCTGGCTTTCTCCAGTATGGCAAGGGGGACTTTGAAGGCTGTTTGCAGATGCGCCAGCAGCATCCCTGCTGCTTCTGCGTCACTCCCACTTCTCCCTGGGGCTGGACTGCCTGCACCCCTGGGGCTGTGCTGGCACTTCCCGGGGTGGAGGGATGGAGAGGGAGGGGGGGGAAACTTTCATGGAAACAGGTGACCTGTGCCCGCTCGTGGTGGGAATGGGGGTTGCCATGGAGACAGCTTCTCCAAATAGCATCCTTCATCCCACCCCCAGAGCCCGGCTCCCTTAAGCAACCCGAGACAGCAGCGAGACAGAGATTTGCTTTATTTATTTATTTCACGCTGTGCCTGCTTTGAGAAGGGCACTGTTAATGAGAGCCGGGGGTCAGGCCTGCCGAGCGTGGGTCCCCCCACTGCCCTCCCATCCCAACGGCCCCGGGGAGGAAGAGGGTTGGATGGCAAAAGCCAGGAGGCATGAAAAGGGGACTCGGTGGCAGAGATAAAATGCTGGCTTCCATGGAGAAAGGGAATTAGCTGAAGTGGAGGGAGGATGACATGGCCGCCTAGTCATAGAAAGGAGGTGTTGGAGAGCAGGGGATGGAGTGGGAGCTAGAGGGGGCAGGGAGAAGGGTGGAGAAAGCTTTGGAGATGCTGAAAAATAAGGAAGAGGACTGGGAGGGGAAGGGGACTGGAGGGGGTCATGTGGGGCAAAGGACATGAGGGTTTGGGGTCCAGCTTGAGGGAGCAGGATGACAAGAGGTGGTGGGGAAGTCTGGGGCAGAGCTGGAGGAAGTCCCACTGCAGTTGGCTCTCCAGCATCCTTCCCCCGGCATCCTGTGAGGTTAACTTGGGGACATCTAGTCCCAAAGGCTGGTGGACAGGGAGGAGGAGTGTGGCTCCCCATGGACTCACTGGTGCCATGCAGAGGTTACCTGGGATGCTCATGGCTCGAGTTTCTCGAGCAGTATGGGTGCAGCGGTGCCAGCTTTCAGCAGTCTGGACTTTGTGAGTCCCAGTCTGCTACTGCTTAGGAGGAGAAATTGAAAATAAAGTTCATAACAATGATTTTAAAAAAAGAAGTATGGTAGAATCTCCTTTCCTTAGGGACAGAGGGGAGATGGGCCGGCATGGAGCAGGAGGTGTTGTGTTCAGGCTGCCCTTGCAGCATACATCCTCACCCCCACCCCGGCTCAGGAGCTGGCATTTCCGTGAGTCTTTGGCTGCAGGCACAGCTTTTGGGAGCTGTGGGGAAACGGTTGCAGCCATCCCCAGCAGGTAAGAGGACATCTTTTCCCTGGGATGGCAGGCTGGCAGCAGCAGTGACTTGCTGACTAGAATTGCCTTTGGAGAAGCCCAGGAGAGCCTGCTGGCTTGTTTTTCCGAGTGCAGGTTATTTAAGGCACAGGCTCGGGTTTAGTGTCCCTCGAAAGCATTTCTTCCCTTATAGCTCCTGCTGATGCCTCTTCCTGCTTCCAGGCAGGTATGCCCCACTTTCCTGGGGTATATGCTCCTGCCCCATGACACAGCTGCCTGTCAGACCTGGCAGTCCTGACTCCTGAGAGCAAAGGATTGCTCCTGCAAAGCTCTTCCCTTGTGAGGACTCTTTCTGACAGCTCTGTGAGTGGGTTATTCCCCTGTAACCTCCTGCCATTTCAAGGAGTGGTTGTTCTGGGTTGAGTATAATGAGCTCTCCATGGTGGCTGTGTGTGCCTGCGTCTCTCTGCATCCATGCTGGTATCTAGCAGGCACTGCCAGGTGAGTGGACTTGGACTTCCCACGCCTGGGCTCCCCTGGCAGCCAGAGAGGTGGCTAAGCGCATCTCAGGTGGAGCTCAGAGGTGTCTCTCACTGCAGCCCTAGAAACGCCTGGCTCAACCCGGCCTCTTTCTGTGGGTTTTTGGGTCAGTTTTGTGCTCTCTTCAGCCAAGGAGGATATTAAAGTGGAGGGATGCCAGTATCATCCTGACTGCCTTGCACCCTCCTATGAACCAGAGCACCATCTGACTGGCCTCAAATCCTGACTCTGCCTAACTTGGAAAACTGGGATTTAATCTCATTAGCTGGTCTTGAAAAGCAGCAAACCCCCCAGCTTTTTCCCTTCCCCTGGGCTCTAATCACACATTCCCCACTTCCATGGGCTTGTGAATCACTCCTTTACACTGCACATCTTGGGCAGCAGTGGCCAGCATGGGCTCTGTGATGCCAGGAAGGATTTGGGATTGGCAGGTTGGCTCCTGCCTGACACAGGCTGTCATGTTCCTCCACACCTCAGCTCCCCGTAGAGGGAGCAGGGTGCTCCACAAGGTGCTAGAAAGACATGGATTGCTCCTGTTTACAGCCAGGGAAAGGTGTTATTCCTTTGACCACTAGCTTGGAGCATGCCTTGCTCCCCTTGTCAGCTATGGCAGTTAAGAATGCAGTCACCTCTTGCCTCTCTCTTTGATACAGAGCTTACAAAGTCCACCACTGCTGTATTTTCCAGTGCTTTCCATATTTTCTGATCTTGTTTCCTGGGTTCTTTTTTGGACCTTTTTTTGTACCTGTTTTCAGGTTAGAAAGTTCTCTGGCTTGTCAGTAACACAAACGGATGCTTTATTTCAGCAATGGTCTGCTTGCTGTGGCACACAGATCTCTGGTGGAGATCTTGTTCCCTGTCACAGATCCCCCAGTCATGGGTTTGTTCTGAGCCAGCTAATAGTGGCTTCAAACACATGCCTCTGTCCTTTGATGGAATTGTAGTTTCTTGATTAAAAATGGGAAATGATGCCAAATCCTATGTCTTCTCCGAGCTTGATTGAATGGCACGGGTGCTGCTTTGTTTACCAGTCCAGCCTGCCCTCCCCACAAAAATAAATCATGTTTGCCAACAGGCTGTGACAGCTGTATGCATGTGTTGGTTGGCATTAATTATGCCAGTCGTTCGCTTCCTGATGATCTGATTGAGTTGCAGCCCTCCATGTATTTTGCCTTGGCTCAGTCTTTGCCTGACCAGCCTGCGCTTGCCCAAGTCAGCTATTTACCCATTTGAATGTTGGCAGGTACAGGCTGCTGCCTCTCCTGGGACTTTTAGCATCTCCAGCTGGCCAGAGATCACCCTTTGACATGTGGACAGCTTGTCAGCAGGGGCTTCAGCATGTTAAAATGCGTGTTGTTTGGGCCTGTGAGCCATGTGTTGTTTCTTCCCATGGAAGAACAAGCACTTCACTCACTTCCTCTGCCCATGTCGTCTAGCTTTGTCCTACGTTCAGTGCAGAAATACTCACTCCTCCCTTCTCACTGGTGCCACTGAGGTTTCCCCCAGCTGACATGTCCAGGATCTGTGCCATCCTTCAGACTCTCCTT